CCATCCTATATGCTCTGCAATACCTCCCTGTTCCAATCCCATCTTCCTAGCCCACTGATTTACATTAACAAAAAAATTATTATATTTCCTACTTCCAACAAACCTTGCTGGATATGTATAATTACATCCACTAAGTTTTACCCAGTACTGTAGTCCTAATTTAATACGCCTTAACCATAAGGGCATTTCTCCCATTTCAATAAGCAAGGCTGAAACTGGGGAAGTTCTGAAGGCCCCACAACAAATCCTCAAAGCCCTTGTTTGCACTACATCTAACCTATCCAAAACAGTTTTAGAAGCAGACCCATATACAAAGGACCCATAATCAATCATGGCCTGATAAATTAGTAATAACGTCCCCCCAACCCCATTCATATCCAGCTAAACTTCTCATAACATTCAAAACTTTTCACACCTCTCCACAATCTTACCTACATGTACAGCCCAAGTCATACGTTCTTCAAACCAAACACCCAAAAATTTAAAAGCCTTTACCTTCTCCAATGGAGACCCATACAAATACAGCCCTATATTAGTTAACTTGACCCATACAAATACAGCCCTATATTAGGTAACTTTCTTTTAAAACCTAATATCATATATTTTGTCTTAGATGCCGAAATTTTAAATCCCCATGTATTCCCCCATTCCTCCACCAACACTAACATTCTTTGAATCTGCTTTAAAACAAACCCTACATTACGCCCTCTTTTCCAAATGACCCCATCATCTGCAAATAAAGAAAGCCCAAATCCTCTCTCCATTTTACCAAAGATATCATCAATCATTATATTAAATAACACTGGACTGATAACACTTCCCTGTGGGGTTCCATTCTCTATTTCCACAATTTTTTAACTAACACTACCAACCTTTACTTGAGCCGTTCTTTTAATTAAAAAATCCTTTATCCAATTAAACATTCTTCCCCTAACTCCTAAATCAAAAATTTTAACCATTAATCCCTCCTTCCACAAAGAATCATATGCTTTCTCAATATCCAGGAAAACACTAACTACTTCTTCTTATTACTAAATGCCCTTTTAATATCCTGATCCAACACTGCAACTGATTCCACTGTAGACCTTCCATTCCTAAAACCATTCTGAACATCAACAAAGAGTCCTTTAGCTTCTAAAAAATATACTAACCTATTTGTTACCATCCTCTCCATAATCTTACAAAGCACTGCCATGAGCGCTATTGGACGATACGAGCCCGGATCAGATGCCTCTTTACCTGGCTTTAAAATTGGGATCACAACGGCATGTTTCCATTCCTTGGGCAAATTACCCTCTTCCCACACTGTATTAAACAAATCTAATATTTCACCAAGTACAATATCATCCAGATGTTTAATTTTTAGTTTCTAAAAAAATATACTAACCTATTTGTTACCATCCTCTCCATAATCTTACAAAGCACTGCCGTGAGTGCTATTGGGCGATACGAGCCCGGATCAGATGCCTCTTTACCTGGCTTTAAAATT